TCGCGCACTCGACACGCACGATCTCCGCAGAGGGTTGCGCGGGCACCCGGCACATCGCACTCTCACCTGCATTTCGCGCACTCGACACGCGCGATCTCCGCAGAGGGTTGCGCGGGCACCCGGCGAATCGCACTCTCGCCTGCATTTCGCGCACTCGACACGCACGATCTCCGCAGAGGGTTGCACTTTCGGTTGACGCTGTTCGTCCCACCCTCCGCCTTTAAGAGAGAATTTATAGAGTGGGGAAATGTTTTTTCATTAGGACATCTCCCGTGCTAGTTTTCCATACTCAAACTTGCCTACTCATTGCATGCTTGCATACTCATTGCATGCTTGCATACTCATCACTTGCATACTTACACTTGCATACTTCCACTTGCATACTTTGACACTTGCATTGCATACTTTGCACTTCACTGCTTTCGCTCTTCCACTTACACAGGGCTACGTATAGCGTTCATGTTATCCTGCAAGTGTGGTGAAAGTGTCAATGTCTAAGTGTGTCTAAGTGTAAGTGTCGAAGTGTCAGTGTTCAAAGGATTTTCCGGAAGAACCCTTCGCAATGCTTTTGGGAATAAACCAAAACACAAAAACAAAAAACAAAAAACAAAAACTTTGAGGATACTTTTTGATTCAGCTTTCTTTTGTTTCCCTTGTGTTTTTTGTTGCTTTCAAAAAACAAACACATTGTTTGTGTTTTTATTGTTGAAAAAAGACAGCCAAACACCAAAAAACACAAGGTTTGTTTTGATTTTTGGTTCCCTAAACCAAAAAACACAAGGAAAACCAGAAACAATCTTTTGAGGCTGAGCCAACAAGTCTCCTCAAAATTTCGTGTTTTTCTTGTTTTTGGTTTCGTTTTTTGTTATTATTGTTTTTTTGTTTTGTTAGCTTGTTGTTTTTGCCATTGGGGATGTCTTTTTGATTTTTATTTTGTTTCCTTTCATTTGCTTTTGAATTGTGAAGCACCCGTTCTTATTTGGTGATTTTTTTACACAAAAAATATGGCTAAAACATCGCAAATACGAGTATTTCCTCAAACAGTTTACTGTTGGGGTCTATTTCAAAAAAGAGCTGGCCACACTGACTCGCCGCGCCCCTGAACTCTGTGGCTGCGTTTTGTTTCGGGCTCTGTTGCCGTGCCGGGCTCTGTGGCCGGGTCTTGTCCTCCTCTTGTCCTTCTCTTGTCCAGCTGTTGTCCTCCTGTTGTCCTTCTTGTCCTCTGGCCGCGCTGACCAGCCCTGGACACACTGACTGGGCGTCTGTGGCCGGGCTCTGTGACCGGGTTTTTTCCTCCTCTTTGTCTTCTGTGGTCCTGCTCTTCTTTTGTCTTCTCTTGTGGCCGAACAATTAGCGATGTCGACTCCGACAAAAATCATGGATTAAACAATTTGCTCTTTGGGCGGGAAGGTAGGGCGTACCAAGAGATCGTTTTTGATTAATATTGGTCCCAGCGAATCGTTTTGAAACTGCTGGTATATGTTTTTTTTGGGGAGGGTAATGGTGGTCCAAGAGCATGTGAGGACCCGTCCGGTCCACCGACTACGTCTGGAACATGCTCATAGTCTAGCGACCAAGATCACAACATGCCAGGTGCTAATTGACTATACCGGATGGACACCCAATGGCAAAATGAGTCTTGCCTGAACGATCACAAGAGTCTATGCCTTGTTTTGAAGCAGACATCTTCAGTCCTCGGTGTTTGTAGGCTAGTTGACGTTTCTGAGCCTTTTGGTCAGGATTGATAGCAGCAGAAATGAGAAGCGACTTGTGCGAGTCGACTCGGTCATGAAAGGATGGACTGAAGGAGTGTAGTTTCCTTTAGTGGAAACCGAAAGGCTTTGGGCAAACTAAGACAACATGCACCTGAGCATGGTGGGACATCTGAGGTTCGTGGATGTTCGTGTAAGCCTAGCCCCCAAAGGAGATTCCACGCGACAGGAATGAGGCCCTCATGCTTGCGTGAACTGCCAACATAGATAAATCGCAATCATATGCGTGCCAGTTTTGGTTGTGGAGTTCTTTTTTTTCGCATTTTTGGCACAAACCCACTTGCAGCTCACTGTGCACAACACATATGGAATACATAGTGGTAGAACGGCCGTGGCCCTGCCAATAGCACAGATGCGAAAATCCTGTAAACTGCCTGTTAAGATTGATCGCAAAAAACCTTGTCAACCAAAGCCGACTGCGCACAGCCCAGCCCACTGTTCTTTGGCTTCTCCTCTTTGTTTGTTGTTTCTAATTCCACAGTTCCCTGTTTCTATTTAGTGGTATACTTATACCAAAATGGAGTGCGGATGAAATTGAACCAATCTGCAAAGTAGATATTATGAAAACTCTTCTCCGCTTTGCTTGCCAACTTTAGGCTATGACAACAAGTGGCTGTGCTTACCGACATCTCCTCCTTCTTACATCCATGTTGACCACTCAGTTGCCGACATCACATTGTTAGGTACAATGGGTCACACAGAATCCAATCGAGTAGATTTCAATCTAATGGGAGGTTGGGGTGAATGCAGGCATCTCGCTTTCCGACTTGGACTTGCTTGCCTGGCAGTTGAGTTTTGGTTAGAAAGCCATGATAGAACCCAAGCACACACGGCATGTGTTTGCATTTAGACACATATTGACACTGCTGCAACAGAGTTTCCTCTACGGATCACGCAGGACTGCAAATGATGGCACCTGGTGAATCTCGACGTTTTTGGATCCCCCCAGATCTTGCATTTGGCAGCAATGAGACAGACACTTCGCACGCAATTCCGGCTTCGGTGGTTTGCTGGATACAAATTCAGAGTTGCATGAGTATTGGCAAATGCCAAGGCGACCACAAAGCCAACTGGGCCTTTGGTGTTTGACATAGAGCTATACTCAATTCAAAGGCGGCTCGGGTGTTTAATTTTAGGTGTTTTTTGTTGTTTGTAGTGTGCCAGTGGGATTCAAAGCTTTGGTGAGACTGATGCAAGGAGAAAGCTGGTACCCTTGAATTAGCTCTCTGAACTCAGCACCTGACGTTCAACATTCGGCATTTAAGGCTTATATTTCTTGTGCTGACACCTCTTGTTCTGAAGAGCCTCAAATTCAACACTCACAGGTACTCGAGCTGTTTTTTAGGCAGGGTTGCATCTAATCTATATGTATATAAACACCTGACAGTGTTCAACAAGTTCAGGGCAAGACTGTTTTGATCACAGAGGTCGTATAGATAGCCGGGAGAGCATGGTGGAGAAGAACATGCAGATAATACCAAGACGCAAAGACCCAAGACGCATGTATGTTTGTGCTCAGAAATAGAAGGGGTTGGCCTGTGACTGCTGAGCTTTTAAAGTCCTTTGCTGATTTGCCAGGCAGCCGAAGCCACCGGCAGAGATGCTAGGATGCACTATGAGCAGAGAGAGAGAGAGTGAGTGAGTGAGAGAGAGAGAGAGAGTGAGAGAGAGAGAGAGAGTGAGAGTGAAAATGAGGTTCTAGCCATTGGCAGCACGTCACTCATGCCACATGCCTTCTCACGAGCCTGTTCAGCCTGAGGCTCTCAGCACCACCCAATGATGCTGCCGCACCCTCTGGTCTTGGGGTTGCTTGCTGGATGTGTGGGAAGATACAATCAAGATCGTGCACATGGAGCTTAAGATGCTGTTTTTTTGCTGAACCGCGGTAAGTCTACTTTCGTGTTTTGGGCAGGCTAGGTCTGCAGGTTGCCGGCCTCTCTCTCTCTCTCTCTGGTTAAAAGCCCTGTCCAGGGGCTGCTCATGATACATGAGAATCTTCATTTGCAAGGGAGGCTGTTTTCCTGGGTCACTGGCCCTCTCCAGGGATCTCGTGCTTCTTGTGTCCAGGGCGCCGATCCGATTGGCTGATTGGCTAAGAAGATGGTCTCTCTATGCCCCATATGCCTCTATGCTTTCTGCTTTCTTGTTTGTCTTGAGTCTACAATCTCATTTTGCTAGCTGGTTTAGCTGCCAGGAGACAACTTCCAGCGGCTTGGCGTTCCGCAAGATCAAGCCAGGCGAGATGGATACCTGCATAACACTGCAACATGCTGTTTGGTGTGTTGTGCTTTGAAGGCACTGGAAAAGAACGCCCACAATTGGAGACGAAACTCGGAGTGGTAAGATCATGCGGGATGAACAGTTGGTGCATGCCAGTTCTGTTCTAAAAGGTTTGATGGCCGTTCAATATTCATGCAGGAATGTGACGGCTTTATACAATGGTTGGGCTTCCAATGGCGACTTGGTGCTCTCAACATCATTTGGCGCTCAAGACACCTTCCTTGTCCGGGAGGACGGGCTGGAGGGGTTTGATTCTCTTGACAGTAAATTTTGTGTCATATCACAAGACTTGTGTCTTGGATTCGCAGGTGCCCATTGAAGGCCTAAAGGAGGCCTTGCAACTCATGGTGGAAGGCACAATGCATTGGCAGAGCTCGACTCATCCCCAGTCATCTCTTCAAAGTCACTGAACAAGCAACGACGCTCGAAGTGACGAAACTGATGCTGGCTGGAGGTGAGACTCGTCGTTTCTGGATTCCTGGGAAGCTTGGATTTGGAGCGACAGCTGACGAAAGCCGAGGATTGCCACCAGGACGGGCGGTTTGCTTTGTGGAAAGACAGAGAAAGAGAAGAAGATATTGCCTTTCTTTGCCATTGAAGCGTATTCACACTAATTACACTGGGCTCAAGGTCTTTTGGTCTTTGATGTGCGACTCATGAGCATAAACAGCTGAAGTCTGAGTCCTTTACCTGGACCTGCATGCACTCATCTCCTAAGTGACCGCCTGGAGTCACCTTGCAGTCTCTCTGAGACTCTGTATATATTTGATTTATTCAATAGACCATAGCTTCATAGCTTCGTTCAGACAACTTCAAGACCAAAATGCTGGTAAGATAGAAAGAAAGAGAGGTTTGCGGAAAATCAAGACACACTAGTCATCCACTAACCAATAAGCTACTGAGTCACAGAACTGATGCCACCGGCTGTGATCTTAAGGCCGCAACCCTTGCCCTCAGAGGCAGAGCGGGAGGTTGAGTAGATTAATGGTTACACTTCGAGGTGTTTTCAGAGCGCAGAGAAGAGCCCATGTGCACATGGAAGGCAATGCCCATTGTACTGTGGGAAAGACCTCCAAAGCCTGCGGGATGGTCAGCCATATGGGAGGCAAGGTCCGGTTAACGCAAATGATGCGAGCAGATCAACTATGATGGTGTGTACCCTGCAGGTGTTACCCCCACCACCACCTCCACCTTTGGGTCAAGATGGGCCTGCACCCCAGCTTGGTCAGATTAGTTGCGCATGAGCATCTATTTTCAAGACACTGCTACAGAGATCCAGGATACTGTCATGCCGAATCCAAATTACCCTGACAGCTTTTCGGACCAAGGGTTTGGATTTGGGTGCCAGAAGGCGAAGAAGCACCAGTTGGCGGAATGGTTCCTCATGAGGGAGCCTTTTTGCCATGCGTAGATGTAGCCTGGCACTGAGGAACTAGATACAATGTGCAGGTGTACAATTGCTACTGATGTGAAAGCCGAATCTAGTGTTTTGCTTGAACCAAATTCCCAAGCACTTTGCTCCCACTTCGAGTGAATTCTCAGGATGACGATGCAGAAGCTGGCCTGCCGAGCAGCACAAGTTTTGGAGGCTTACTCAGTCAGGGGAAACTGCCATCCTTCCAGATTTGTCTAGAATCCAGTTGCAGCTCCACTTGACTTGGCCTGTAATTTCCTTTTGCGCTTGTGAGCTCCCACAAAACGCAGCCCACCTCTATTGTCGCACTCCCCCATCCGTATGGGTTGCTGTGCAACATGCAAGTTGCTAGTGCCGATTTGTGTGGGTGCTCTTTATGTATACTTATATAATATAGTATATACTTGCCTTTCTGAGGCAGCCCAAAAGAGCACTTAAGATTCTCAGGACCTTGAAATTGGTAACACTGGGTAGAATGGATTCGCAGCATCAACTGGAAATGAACATGTGATTGGTCTTATCATTGTGCTTGTTTTCTGGTCAGTTGACAGATGTCCCCAAGAAGGGGTTGCCAGGAATTCGGAAACCTTTTGTTGGGGTGGATTCTCTTGTTGGTGTTCTAGTTGTTCGTTGCTGTTGTTTGTTCTTGTTTCTGAACACATATATTTTTTGAGTCTCCTTTCTTTAGCTCGAGCTTATTCTATGTTGTTTTCACAGTCGGAAGTTGATGAGAAGGGTCTGAAGTGACCGAGGCTTGGGTGCTACCGATGTTTTCCACGTTTGACTCGGTCTTTTTCCACCCCGTGATAGCTTTTCAACTATCTCAATATAGTCCTGAAGTGTCACATAGGCCTTCTGTAGGGAGGAATCCAGGGGGTATTGCCACGGGGTATTTGCAAAACCTTAGATGCCTTGGACTTGCGATCCCTTGCGGCAGGCTTTGGGAATGTTCCCATTCAGGCGTGTTCGTGCAACTGTCCCCTAGCTGCCAACATGGCGAGCTGCACTGTGCTACTTTCCCAGGCTGCAGCTGAAAGCAACATGTGCCACGACAAGCTTCCAGCTACAACAGTCAGACGCCGAGGTTTTGTTGCGACTCATGTCAAGAACGCATGCAAACGGAGCAAATCATGCTACGGCATATTGGTTGCTGGACTTAGGAATTGGTTGCGACAGGCCAACCAAGCGCTTGAGAAACCAAGTGCAACACATTTCAGAAACCTTCCAGGCCCAGAGAGTATGCAGATGATGCAAGCTGCCCTGCCAACCACAGTCCGGAGCTTTGAACAGACTGTGAAAACAAGAACTCTCTCAACTTGTTAAAACCTCTGCGCTTTTAACAAGCCTTGATGACTGGGTCAAGGATATGGTCCAAAGCTATTCGCAGGCCTGGGCAATCGTGATGTGATGGAATCATTCCACCATGCTAATATAGTCAAATTTTGGGAGAAGAATTTGAATTGCAATGCCTTGCCAGAACCTGCTTCAGAGTGGAACGACGAGCACCCAGAAGCCTCAGTGCGGCTAAGGGTGAATTGGATTTGCATGCTGAGGTCAGCCTTACCCTCTTCCAACGCCAAAGGTGGGGCACCTTGAACAAGCTTTGTCACAGCCTTTGGACAAACTTCCTTGTGATACAGACGCGTTTGGCCTCGCAGCAGACCTGGCCTCAGATCAGCAGTGAAGAAACATCTAGATCGCCTGCTAAAAGCAGCCAATGGCGTGCGCAAATGCTCAGAGCAAGCAGTTTGTTTTTGGAATTGGCCCAAGCCCATTGGTTTCCAAAGCTGCTTGTAGCATCTAGGAACGCGAAGCCATCCTTGTCCGCTTTCCATGCACCCAGGGACTTCCTTCTGTTAGTTGTGCTGTCTCATGCTGTGCAATGCTTGCATCTTGAGTCTTGAGGATGGCATGCCGAAGAGTGCTTCTTTGAGCCCCAACCAGTATCCCAGCCATCAAAGCATTCCAGAGGTGGATCGACAATGAATCCGGTCAGGGGATAGGATGATGTGGCGCATCATGATTCTGCTTGTGGCATTGTTTTTTGACAACCTTTGCGCTGATTGAATGCTGGAATATTCATGCCTGCTAGGCTTCAGGAGAGAGGCCCTCACAAGGGCACGCACCGCAGGTGGGAGACGCGGCATGTGAGTCATCATGCTTCTTGCATGAGCTACTGGACAGCAACCTAGAACTGCACAGGGAACACAATTGCTTCATTGGTAATGGTCACCCAGACTAGTCAAAAAGGCCAACACAACCTGCCACCTCAACTTGCTCTATACTTCCTCCCAGTCGTTTCATCTATTCCTCATTATACACAATGCCAAAAGCAACGCTTTGCAAGTGCAAACAGGTTTGGAATCCCTTCCCAACGCAGACCACTGCCATTGATCCTCCTGTGGAGCAGGCGATTGGGTTCACTTGAGTACTGTCTCACCCAACCCTGGTATGCGCCACACATTCGTTGCAATTCTAAGCAGTCACATCGAATTCTCCGTTGCAGGCATGGAATCCGTGGGCAAGCAGCAGCCCAAGTCTTGAGCAGAACACACGCAGCAGACCAACAGGATTGCACAGATTTGAGTGACATTTTCAGACAGGTGAAGGGGATGGCCCGTTCCGACCTCATCCTTTGATCAGCCAACTGCAGGGCCAATTTGTCAGCTTTCGAGGTTCAGCAAGTCCTTGCAGGAAACGCACAGGACTTATTCTGAGTTTGCTGAGCACGTTTGCAACTCAATCAACAATCCTGAATCAGCACCAGCAGCAGATCTTGCTTGTATTCTGCTTGTCCCACACACTGGAGATGGGAAGGAGAATCGTGGGAGACATTGGAGCGTTCAACTCGGACGACTGGAGGCTTGCATGTTGGAATGTACTGCCAAGAAGTTTGCAGTTGTCATTCAGAAAGAGAGAAGATGGATGCTTTGCAACGGGTTTGTTGCTTTGTTGTTGCGTGGCTTATGGCTTATGCTTTATCTTACGCCGTACGCATTCTCCTCAATTTGCCGTGGGTTTCAACTGCAAGGTCAAGTGCCCCAACACCTTCCACAAGATCTCTGCAAGTGCCTGCACCGCCTGCTGCTTCTTGGAATGGATCCTGCGGACTGCAAAACCAAAGCTGCTCTCAGCTTCCGGCTCAATTGTCTCATTTGTCACCCTTTGGCTTGGAGGACAAGGGCTTCAAATGACCTTGGCTTGCATTTTTGCAAGCAGTTCTCCCTCCAAAAATGTGCAGGATTTCAATTCCTTGGAGAGCACCTCATTTTGGCAAGTGCAGTCCTGGCCTCAGAGTGCCAGCAGTACAGACATTCCAGACTCTGCAAGTCTTTGCTGTGCACTTGAAGCTCTTACGTTTCCTTCGGTTCCTTCGCAGGCCTTCGGTTCCTTCGGCTCCTTCGTCGCCAGTGCAGAGTGCTCAATTCGTGCCGAGTGCACATGTAACAGAGAAAAAAACATCTTGCACAGTGAGGCAACAAGTTGGAAAGACTTCAATTAATCAGTATCATGCATTTGTTTTGCATGCTTGAATTGGAATGCTTGGAACGGCCAGGCCCAATAGCAGATTAAACCAGGCCTGCTGGTCACAATTCATCGACTGGAGTGTTGCGGGATTGACAGGTGTTGCAGAATTCATAGTATGCTGCTCCAGACTGTGAGCACAAGCAGGACTGCTGCTGTGAATGCACGAACGCGATTGCTTGTGATCAGGCTCCCGTAGGCATCACCAGCCAAGGCCTGTTACGGGAAATGTCTCAGACGATTCGATTCTATTTATGTTTGCTAGAATTTTGAATTCTTTCAACAAACACTGTGTCAGCAGTGCAGCTTCTTTTCTCTGGGGACTTCGGTGCAGGCTCTGCGCCTGGCAGAAAGTCAGGGCCGTCTGTAGGCTCCGGCAGTCAGGGATTTTTGATGCCCAGCTGCATTGGCCAACAACCAAACTGTTGCGATGCGTTTGAAATGAATCCATTCCCTCATGTCAGGTGTGAAGTCACGAGTGGTCCTGCAGTCCCAGTGTCTGTCTATGATGCCAAACACCAAGGACATCAACAAGTGATGGACTGGAGGTGTGTCTGCCGGCACTCATGAAGTCCATCGGTCCCTCAAAACTGCTTGAATTTGTTAGACATGCTGCCCATCTTTCTTTGCATGGATTTCAGGTGCTTAGAAGGGTAGCTTGTGATGGGGCAACTGAGCTGCTCCTGTATTGGTTACGCCATCATTCCAGAAACACACTTGAGCTTGCTTTATACACAGAGCCCAAAGCATGCTGCTAATGCTCGATGCCAAATCTGCTCCCAACCCTTGTCAGCTTCAACCATTGCTTGGTACAAGGAAACTCTGTGCGCGCTTGAAAGTGTGCGCTCCCGTACTTGTCATAGGTGACATATCCCGTTGGCCCCTTGATCCCGTGAGAGGCTGAGTG